CTTGCGTCGAGGCGTGCAGGAAACTAAACCCACCTCCCCTGAACATGGGTCGACTGAAGAGTCTCGTCATGCCTGCCTACAAGCAGTAGCGCTGAGCAAAGTGACGAGAAGGCAACCACACACTTATAAAAAAAAAACACACTTTATAAAGTCAGGCAACACTAACCAGGCTTCGTGTGATTCTGTTTATTTGTACCTTACTTTGACCATCCGTTCGCTGTTATTGATCATTGTGGAGAGCAGGCAGACGTTTTGTTTGTTATTATAGCAGCTATCGGATGGAATCAATACATGGGCTGCCACAGGTTGTCATGTCCGACTATCACAAGTAGAATCATAATGAAAAATACGCCGGTAAAATGTGCCTGTAGAAAACGGCTTAGCAAGTAGTCAGTTTAGCTTCGGTTGCTATGCTAACATCACCCATGTTATACCAGAGAAACTTTCATAACAGCGTTGTGATGCCAAACAGCGTCAATTCAGACTGACACACATTCACTTAAGGGGAACTGGGGATATGTATCAGCTGCTTGTGTGACAGTCAGACAGTGAATACTTTAGAGCCGTGTGAGCTAACCCGGAGCTAACGGGAGAATAAACTCCCGTGGAAGAGCAGCCAGCACTGCAGCGGTCGGTAAATGCCGCTGAAACACATTAATAAACAATGAACCACGGCACTCTGGAGAAAAGTATAAGGTTGGAGAAGTCGTTATTTAATTTAATCTGGCTTCGTATGATTAAAAGCAACACGATCATCGACCCGACGCAGTCCCCCCCCCCGTTGTTGTTGTGAGCTCCGTTGGGGAGAAAATCAGCGATGTAAACGGTAACGTCATGACGCAGCAGCGGCAGCTGGGCGGTGTGAACAGAGCGGGAGCTGAAAAGGGAAACCGGAGCTGAACCAGAAAAGCTCTAGCTAGGAGCTAGAAAGGGAAAAGCGCTGGTGTGAAAGCCGCACCTGTGAGCCTAGTGTGCTCCGATTGGTCAGCTCGGCCACTCTGTTCTGATTAGTCAACCACCAGAGAGGCTCCGCCCATGTCTAACAGTGCTTTTTTCGGCTCGCTCTCAGAACATCAGTCTTATAATGGCGTTGGTACAGCCGTATATTTGATACGCTAACTAACTGAACTGTACCTACAACTGTTGTTATAGAAGAGTAAGTTATTTTTACCTGTAATAAACTACTACTGTTTGATGAGAAATCAAATCATGGTTTGCTATATATGAATGATATGTTATAGGAGCAAATAATTCAGGGAAGAAAGGATAGGCCTACTAAGTATTTCCATCAAACTTTATTTTTAGAAATGTACAAAATGAACATAAATATACATATATACACGGTATATCATCCATTCCTCCCCGTTGTCGGCATCTTGCCTGGGCGCAGCCGGCGCTTTTTAGGACGAGGCCTCAGTGTGGTAGTCCCGTCCCCGTGATGTATTTTCCGCCAGGATCTGGTTGGACGAAATCAAATGCAAATCACAAAATATTAGAGAAACTTAGTTGTTTTAGATTCGTTAGTAGTAGTTGTGGTAGGAGTGTGGATCTATCTAATCCATCTATATAATCAACACAGTAAGCTTGCCAGCTAATATGCTAACCTAGCTTTCTTGTTTACCTTAGCAAACACGATATGAACGTTAGCTCGGAGGAACGGCAACTATAATGGAGTGTAATAAAACTACTATGAACAAAAGCTAGTGGTTCATATTAGGCTAGCAATAACGTGTTTATAATTGCAATCTTATACGGGTAGTCTGCTACGTTCGGTCATACAATGTTTCTCGCTAGCATGTATAGCTAGCCTCGTTAGCTATACATGCTATCAGCGTCGGAGGAAAGCTAACTGTAATGTACCGTCCTTTGGGGGTCTGTGAGCGGGCAAAGAGAGGGGATTTCCCCGTTGTCTCTGCTGGAAGTGTGAAATAAACAGAGTCCCCATTTCAGGGACACCTCTTGGAGGTCTCTAGGCCGTCCTTTGGGGGTCTGTGAGCGGGCAAAGAGAGGGGATTTCCCCGTTGTCTCTGCTGGAAGTGTGAAATAAACTTAGTTGTTTGATGTTCGTCAGCTTGCCAGCTGGATTACAATGCTAATCTATGTTTGCTAGTTGTTCAGTTGTTCAATATGCTATACTATACTATGAACAACAGATAGTGGTTCATATTAGGCTATCAAGCACATGTTTACAATTGCAATCTTATATGGGTAGTCTGCTACATTCATTGTAGCTGGCATAAAAAAAATGTTTTTCCGAGCAAACTCATGTCTAGCTCTTAGTAGCCTTGTTGTTTAGCTCGGTAGCATACACGCTCGGAACGCCAGCTATAATGTAACTACGTTTCGCGACTGACCGTACGGTAAATCACCTGGAGTATACTGTCTATGAGTATTTCGTGTGTGAATGCAGACATTCTCCTGCTATGAGATACATGTATGTAAGGCCATCTGCTGATATTAGAGTTGATATGGAAACGCTAGCAACTTAGTTAGCACAGTTAGCACTGGCTTAGCAGTCCGAAACATGTTTACACATTTAAACAGTCGTGGTAGATACCTTGTTTGATAAATACACAAATAACAATGCAAACTTACAGGTTGTGTACCCGAATCTTCCCCTGCTCCAAACGGTCCAAACAAACTAGGAATAGCATCGTCATTCAGTTTCAAATGCTGTGCATATCCGGCCTCAAACTGGGCAATGTTTTGGAAGCTTTCGTCTGTGAAATGCCGGTTCTTCGAACCTCTGAAGGAACAGTGTTAAAAAGAAATTTCAACCACTGACTTCGTCGTGGTTCTTCCGTCGGTAGGACAAACAGCTCACATTTCTCCTCACATTTCAGGAAACAGGTCCTTGGCATTGGCATGACTGGATCGATTGTGAACTGAACCAGAGCTTCCAACAGTAAATGTTAGGCTGGCAGAGGGTGCGGCCAGCGCCGCTGGGTGTGGCCATAGCTCTTCGGGATTGGTCCATTTCGTTCCGGGTACCGCATGACATCATGCCGTACCCGGAACTAAATGGAAGACTCAAATGGGCAGTGACGTATCTCCAACGAGGCGTTTTGGGGAGGTATTTTCTGTGTTAGAGTTTTACTCGCTACAGGGTGTACTTTGAGGGTTTTGACTCTGCACACCGTTTACATGCATAAAAACCTTCATAACACACAAGGGGACGGGTAATAACCGGAAAAGCATGACATGGGAGCTTTAAGGGATGTCATCAAATGCCGTTGGCATGGCGACAGATCATTCGCCATCAAGTTAGTTCAAAAGTTTGCGGTTCAAATATTCTGGTGCTTTTCCAAGCCTTTTTACTTTCTTTTCTTCTTTCATCACACATTCAAGCCCCCAGTGTTCATGTATCATTTCAATCTAAATTCTTCACTTTCTTCTTACACATTACATTTCAGCATAGCAGTTTAGCGTCAGCTTTTCAGCATAAAGCATTCCCACTAGCAATTTCTTCAGGAATTGCATTCTCTAGTTGAACATCAAGTGCTTGTCTTTTACTTTACAATTACTATTTCAAACTCTGGAAACCTAGACTTGGTGAGAACACTTGCTCCGATGGACTTTTATGAAATCCTTAAACGTTTTATGATTCAGAATTGTGACCTACACCCAAATGTATCTATGTTTTTACAGTAGCATTTTAATTTGAATTGACAAATATTATGATCCAATGGATATGTGTCCAGTAAGCCTACTTAACTTTAAGCCTCTACCCCCACTGCCTCAACTAGAGTTTGCCACCTGCATTTTAGGTCCTGGACAACTTCTGTGGCAGTTTTAATGTTGACCACATGAGGTCTCCAGCGTTGTGTTTCCTGTTTATATATACAGTCTATGGTTTCCTCTCAGCCAGACAACTAGCGGTGACATCAGTCCTAGCAGTGCAGGCAGTCAGCCCACAGACTTTGGCTGCGCTGCTCAGAGATGGCGTCCCTTCTGCAGCCAGATAGAGTTGTCTATCTGGTTCGTGGAGAAAAAAGAATCAGAGCCCCTTTATCTCAACTTTATTTCTGTCGTTACTGTAGTGAGCTACGGTCTCTGGAATGTGTGTCTCACGAGGTACGTAAACCTTTTGCCCTGCTATCATCAAGCTAGCTGTTGTTAGCTTAATTTAGCTATTGTGTTGTTAGCCGGCTTGCTAGTAGCTTTGACAGGTAGGCGGGATTAGTCCAACCATCTGGCCCATTGAATGGCTACGCTGCTTGTCAATCACGAGTTCTCCGCATCTCATTGGCTGCGAGCGACGGTTGAACTTCCGTTTATGTTAGCGTATGTCGAGCACAGCAGAAATGGGCGAACAAGCTAGCTAGATAGCTAGCTCTTTCTATTATTTGAGCTTAACGTTAAATCATTCGTCTTCCCACATTTAAGGAATATTTCCGACGAGTAAATTCTATTTTATACAACATTAGTCCACCCTAGTCATGTCTTCACTGTCAAAATCCATCTTGTAAACGTGTCTCACAGACACCACACCCTTGTGCTTTAGACTTTTCACGTATTGCAACTTCAGATGACCTGTTAGTGATGTTTCTTTGTAAACACGTGATTAAGCTACTTAAAACCACCACAAAAAAATATATACTTCTCCCATCTTCGCCACCACATAAATGCTATCGATATTTAAGAATAATCCCATTTGTATTTGTATCACCAACACACTCAAGAACTGAACAAGTGTAACATAAGCTTTAAAATGTGGATGACTGACTCCTCTCCTGAACCCCTTTCTTGGTTATCAGGTGGACTCTCACTATTGTCCAAGCTGTCTGGAGAACATGCCATCTGCAGAGGCCAAGCTTAAAAAGAATAGGTGAGAATGACATGTACACACTAAAACTATTTGCACAAAACCCTGCAGTTCATTGCTCACTTCTTAATGTTTATTTCATTAATGACCTGTCATTCATTATGGATTATCTGTGCCCTGCTGTAGGTGTGCAAACTGTTTTGACTGCCCGTGTTGCATGCACACACTGTCTACCCGAGCCACCAACATCCCAGCTCCTCTGCCTGATGACCCCACTAAGACGGCCATGAAGAAGGCCTACTACCTGGCCTGTGGCTTCTGTCGCTGGACCTCCAGGGACGTGGGGATGGCCGACAAATCAGTTGGTTAGTGCTGTTATAATATATTGACATTATATTCTCACTTTAAATGTATTTCTAAGCTCACAACAACCCAAAGTCCTGATGTATATCTAGAGTTGCTCATTAATTCATCTCATGAAGACAGCTGTCCTCCGCTGTTTGAGTTACTTATTGTTATATCAAGTCTCATGTTTTGGTGATTTTTTTTTTGTTCTGTACAGCCAGTGGTGGATGGCAGGAGCCAGAGAACCCTCATACTCAGCGGGTACGTTTTCCCCTGTGGTCATTTGAAATCCTCACAAGTTGCTCACATGCTTCATGATCATAACTTGTTTTTAAATAAATGTGTCTCTGAATAAGTGAGACCCATACAAAACCAGCCAGAGGCAAAGGCAATAATAACTGTTTGTATTACTTGTGGGACCACAAATGTGCCAGCAAATCATAAAATTACCCCCTTTTACGTGTTATGTACGTTTTTTTATAAACAGCCAATGTAGGAGGCATAATGTTTTTGGGTTTTCCATCTGTTCCCTTCTAGTGAATGCAATATATGTTGAAAGCCTAGAGGTCAAAAGACACCGCTTGGATTGTGTTACTTCAAAGTAACTGCTGTATTTTACCACGTTCCTTTTAAAATTATGTTTACTAACCTCAAACCCCCCAATTCTTCATCACTCTTATTTAATAACAAAAAGCTGTGTCTGGATAATATTTTGTTCCCTACAGATCAACAAGCTGATCGAGTATTACCAGCAGCTGGCTCACAGAGAGAAGCAGGATAGAGATCGGAAGAAGCTGGCCCGGAGACGACAGTGCATGCCTCTGGCCTTCTCGGTACTTATTACTCATTCTGAGCCCTCTTTAGCCTTTTCAAAAACTCCAAACCTTCTTCTTTTACTTTTTAAAAGTCTGAAAGCTGTTGTCTCGCTGCAAGCTGTTAGAAAATGTGCAATTCTTGTTGAAGCAGAAATTACAAAAAAATAAATAAACGGAGGTTCAATAACTACCAAAGTATGCGCAATAGTATAATAGTATGATAATATACAATTAGCACACCTTTAAACCAAAGCAAGAGAGAATAATAAGCTGCCAATTGTTTGGTTGGAGTACACAATTAACACCATGTCTATGATTTGGGAGGAGAAATGAGAAATGCTGTATTCTTGTGCATTAACGTTTTTCAAGTTGCTTTCATTAATCTGCCCTGATGTGGACATGGTCTTCATGCTAATTGAGCTTGTTGGCACATGGTGTTACACCTCTGCATTCTGCTTTCACAATAACTAACATTCAATACTACAAACTAGCCTTTCCTATTGTGTAGTAATGGAATCATTTGAAACACTTAAGCTGTGATGTCCTGCAGTTGATTTCCATTACTGATGCATTTCTGTTGCTGTTGCATGCCACGAATGTTTGCTAAATTGCTTTGGTTTCAACTGGTTCTTTATTCTCTCCTTTTTTCTTTGCTTATGCACTCTGATATTTTGGTTTTGCCCCCCAGCAACACACTATTCATGTGGTGGTGAGTTGTATTTTTCACAACTTGGATAGTCTCATTTTTGCAGTAGCACTGTCTTGTCTTTATGTCTGTTCCTGTCTAATCTGTTTCTGAGTGACCTCACAGATCACATGAATGTCTCCTTGGCTAAATGACACTGGGATGGGCACAATGGGAGCCTTTATGTTGGATAGAGGGAGAGAAGAAATAGAAGACTTTGTTGAAGTCTATGTAACCAGATCAAAAATATTTGTCATACTAATGAAGTCCTGAACCCTGAGTTTATCAGAGTTGATTCCCTCCCACTATCCTCGGCAGAAATGCTCCTGTTATTGTCTCTTACCACAAGATAAATGGAATTGTGTATTGGCTTGCTTATTATTTTTTTAAATAGCCTTATTTGCTTTTCAAAGTTGTCATAAATTCCTCTTCAATTCCAAGACATTTTGTTAAAAGTAGTAGTGTGTAAATTGTTTTTAGATTGTGTCATTCCATAAATGGTCGTGAGTTATGTTTTATTTTCATTATGCAGAATGCTTGATCTTGCTTTCCCCCCTAAATTCACTCAGGAAAAATATGGTCTTGGAACCAGACTGCAGAGGCAGAGGTCTGGAGCCCCCATCTCAGGCCTGTCCGGCCTTACGTGAGTGCTTCTTTGTCACACAAAGCGAATTACATCTGCTTATTACCTCAATACTAACATGCATATTATTGGTGACTTAGATCAATTGATTTCTTACCATCCAGCAGCCATTGTTTCATTAATTTCAGTGTGCCATGAAAATCAATTTGTAAAGCCTTGAAACTTGGCTTGAGACACAAAGGTAATCCATCATGGTGAACGCTTCGTCACCCTTATTGTTTCTCAAAGTTACATCATCGCCTTGTAGTAATACATTTATGAGGGGTAACCCTTTTCATATTACACAACCGGGAAACATTCAAGGACCCTGCTTAAAGATGAAAGTTAAAAATTGGCTGACAAAAGGCACTTTTTTGACAAAGTGCGCTGTCAGATCCAGGAAATGCATATAGAAAAAGGAACCATGAAAAGAATTGTGTGAAGTTAGTCTCTTGTCTCAAAAAGGTTGCCGTTCTTCTAGTCATGTCTAAAATCTTGGACCTTGAAGTTGCCACCACTGAGTTCTTAAAAGTAATTTTTTTCTTAAGTGTATCACTAAGCAACTTAAACGTCCTGAAATACAGCTGCTGGAGTGTTAACTGGATAACTTGTGTTGTGGTGTTGTTTCAATTCGTCACCATTTTGAAAACCAGTGGCTCCCTAGATTGTACTAACTAATCCTAAAGCCTTACTTTATGCGGGCTAAATGCCCAGTAGCTATGTAAGATACATATTTGCAGGTCATTAGTAGTTGAAGGATTACTTTACCCACAATATTACCATTTGCATAGCAAATACTCACATTGTGTTACCTTGATTTTGCAAAGAAATCGTTTTTTGTAATGCCTACACGGTGAATGAAGACACAATGCATGTTGCTAAAACGTTAGTATTGAAATTACATTTGCATAAATAGTCTCGGAGTACTGATTATGTGCAATTGTTTGTAAAGTACTGAGCAAACAACTGTATAAATGGTCCTTAGGTTGTACTGCACAAGTTGTCGACAGTTTGTAAACTTTTGATATAGTTTTCCTGTCCCCATTTACTCTTCAATTAAAGCAGATTTCTCGTAGTTTTAGGATTTCTTTTTTTTGTTCATCAAAAATCTTTTTATTGCCCTCGACAATGCATAACCAGTGTTTGTCATTTTAGAAATGGAAAGCAAAAATATATGCATACAAATGAGACGGTGGTTTGTACTGATTGTATTTACAAAGAGAGACAAAATTACAAAGAACACAAACAAACAATAACAACGACTAAAGTAATCCCCTACATTCACTGCCAGTGAGCCTCATACACACGATTATTTACCAGGAACATTGTTAAATGAATATATATGCATAATAATAATAATAATATATTACATTTATATAGTGCTTTTCCTGGTGCTCAAAGCTTTAACATGCAGCAAATACATATACTCATATACTCATACACATCTACTATATATATATATATATATATATATATATATATATATATATATATATATATAGTAGATGTGTATGAGTATATGTATTTGCTGCATGTTAAAGCTTTGATATATATATATATATATATATATATATATATATATATATATATATATATATATATATATAGATATATATATATATATATATATATATATATATATATATATATATATATATATATATATATATATATATATATATATATCAAGCTTTAACATGCAGCAATACATATACTCATACACATCTACTATATATATATATATATATATATATATATATATATATATATATATATATATATATAGTAGATATATTTAACATGCAGCAAATACATATACTCATACACATCTACTATATATATATATATATATATATATATATATATATATATATATATATATATATATATATATATATATATATATATATATATATATATATATATATATATATATATATATATATATATATATATATATATATATATATATATGCTGCAGATAAGCTATACCAATAGCAGATTGGATTTCTTTTTTTTTTACAGTCAAAGTTATAACAGATTGTTGATAGGAGTATTTGTGTATCTATTCCAGCCTTAAAGAGGGTGAAGACCAGAAGGAGATCACCATTGAACCTGCACAGGCTCTGGATGAAGTGGAGCCCCTGCCTGAGGACTGTTATACCAGACCCATCAGCCTACCAGAGGGTAAGACTTTGTTTGGAGCGTGGTAAAGAAATCTGATCATGTGTGTTTCTCTAGTTGAGTTGAATCTGAGATGTGTTGTGTCCTCACAGTGACCACGCTGCGCCAGCGTCTCCTGCAGCCGGACTTCCAGCCTGCCGGGGCATCTCAGCTGCACCCCCGACACAAGCACCTGCTGATGAAGCGCTCACTGCGCTGCAGGGTCAGTACCTCTCCAGGGTCCACTGTATCTGTCGAAGGCTGTTGTTTTTATGAAGATTATATTGAGATAATAATCTTCTTTCTTAATTTCCTCCTCCAGAAATGTGAGCACAACTTGAGCAAGCCAGAGTTTAATCCTACTTCAATCAAGTTTAAAATCCAGCTGGTGGCTGTGTGAGTATTAGATCCTTAACATGTGTCTTCATAATGATGCTGATCCTTTTTTAAATGATATAAAAATACAAACCAGCCTGAAGCCTGATGTAGTTTAATAAGATTAAGTTCCTAAAGTTGTAAACTGTAAACGCATGTCCAGGAAATGATCCATGCAAAGTTATCTTTTTAAAATAACCAAACTATACCTGATCTATGCCATAATGTCCTGGATAATAAATCTGTCTTGTGTTTTCCTTATGGTTCGCTCCATTCTGTACCAAAAACATGTGTATGTTTTCAGTAGGTCATGCTTTGTGAGTGGTTGACATTTAACTCTTACTATTACAGATCCACTCTCAACTCTTAGTGAGAGTGGTTGTGTTATATAATAAATAAACAATCTGTGTGTTGGGTGTAACTGTAATTGATTGGCATTTGCCTGTTTGTTCCACAGGAGCTACATCCCTGAAGTGAGAATTATGTCTATTCCAAACCTCCGGACCATGAAGGTCAGTGTGCACACTGCTTGGGACATCTTGTGTATATCTTTGACATGTTTTATTAATCCGTTTGTATTTAAAACCTTGAAAGGCTGAGACTATAACATACTATTCATACCAACTATTCAACTTTGTACTGTTTTCACTGACGCTGCACTGAAACACAGCTTTCTCATCAGTAACTCAGCTTTTGAGTTTTAGTCAGTCTCTTTCTTTATTGGCCTACATTGCTTTGCAGTCCAGCTATTGAACGGTTACTCAGATATATAACAAAATGCATCATTCATAAAAAAGACAAGATAAAGAAGGAAATGTTCACCTAGTAGAGGCTGGAAGTGAATTGTTGACAAGGTTTAAACGCTAAGCAAACATTGCTTTTCTTAGTAGATGTCAGCCTGATGTCCAGTGTTGATTAGGAAGCACCTGCTCGCTACAGCATGCCATATCAGCTAAAAACATTGTCCTTTGTTCCTCTACATTTAATACATGGTCTATTTTAATGATCAACTCAGCTTGAAAGGTAATTTGTCTTGTTCCCCATCCTGTCTATCTAGGAGAGCCAAGTGCTGCTGACCTTGACCAACCCTGTGGAGAACATCACACACGTCACTCTGTCTGCTTGTGAGGACGAGGATCCTGATGATATCAACAGCACTGCTAAGGTAGTAAAGTACTTTGATTTGATCCTGATTCTTAAGATGTTGTTCAATCTAAAAAGGGGTTTCTCATGACAAACCTGTAGAGCACTATCACCCAGCTCTGCTGTCTAACAGCCAAAACACTAAAGGTATTTTAAAAGCTATAACTGTCATTCTGGGCCTGGATTGTCTGCAAAATGCTCTCACCTCTAATGTCACAACCACACATGAAGATGGCTGAGCCCAAATGGCTACACCTAGCATTGCTAACAGTGCTGACAGAGCAAACGGGGATAACCAGGTGGGGATCCAGAGCTTCAGTGTTACATTTGAATAACGTAACCGCTGATTGGGCTTGATGCAGGGAGGTGACCATTAGTGAGTCAGTGGGACATGAAGGCAGAGAATCACAAGCTGTAATAGTGTGTTAAAGTGAGTGAGGGTTATGGGTGCTTATAACAAGAGGGAAGAAGAGAACCAAATTGGAACAAAAACTGGTGCATGCTGGGAAGGGGAGTGAGATTGTTAGTAGAAGCCAGGGCTCTATAGACAGTAATGCCTCCTTGCCACCAGGTATCTGGAAAACAAGACAAACGACAGATCGGCAGGGAAAGGCTGGGGTCGTCGCAGATGATCATTTGGTTCCATGTTGACTGCTGGGTACACGGTTGTTTACTAAAACCACTTTATGAGGCAATAATAATTCAGGGCGGTTTGTTTATTAGCTTGTTTAGAAGCACTTCTGCCCCACATGGTGCACATGGAGCTTTAACTGCTGGAAAGAGCATTATGGCTGGAATACAGAATATAAGAAATGTGCACAGACACACAAGGTGGCAGTTGTTCACCACCTGCTGCCTGCTCTTAAATCTTCCATATTATATAAAGCAGTTCCTGCTACGTTACCAGCCATCCTCAGCGAGCGCAGGGCCTTCTGCTGCTTCACCCGCCTGTTCCTTCTGGAGGAGCTAGCCTGGTCATTATCTCATATGCAGAGCAGTTTGGTCCCGTTTCCACCTCCATCTGTCAGCTGTCACACGCCCAGCTAAGAGAGCCGTGTTCCTGCGGTAAATGGTCTGCTGAGCTGCCAGTTGCTGCGAGGCTCTCTGTGACTACAGGCTGTTTGTGTTGGCCTCTTTAGCGATGAAGTCATCGGCCAGCCTGGGTAAGAAAGAGCTCCTGGCCAAAACCGAGCATCTTCATGACCCATTTCCATTCACATCCAGGCCGAACTCAGTGTGCAGTCATGCCATTCTGCTTGATCAGATATTCAAATACCTGAGGGGCGGCATGAACCACAGCGGGCCATGCTCGGTCGGTTTTTATCGACCAGCTCTTTCCAAAGCCTACTTCGATGTCCCCTAACATACATAATTAATACGACAAAACATTATGTAATGTTTGCTGATGACTATAGGGGAACAGTTTATTTATTTTACAGGTAAATGCAATCCAAAGCACTTCTCTTCCCCCACAAATAGCACTAATATGACTGGTTTGTTGTCTAGGCAGTGCGTACAGAAATCCGTTTTGGGACACTTTCACAAGAAGTCTGAAAGTAGCAGCAAAACCCAAAGAGCTGTAAGTGGAGCTTGTAGAAACTGAAAGGTGAAAATTAAAGTGGTCTTTCATTGAGCCCCAAGCTTATGTCAAATGTTCTGAGGAGATAGGATCACAGCTAACATTGTAAAGTGATTATTTGGGTCTTTATTATAGCTATAACCTCATCTTTTATTTCCTGTCTTTGCAAATTGCTATGCGTCTGTTAATTTAATAATAATGTCTTAAAGTTGTCCTTTCTACAACCTTAAGTCATAAAATGATGCTTAAACTCAGATTTAAGCTATTTAACTTTCCCCCCTCACCAGATGAACTTTTTTAAACAGCCTTCGAGTGACACATTCTACACATCCATCACTCTGCACAGTGAAGGTCAAACTTTCAAGTGAAGCAACGAGTAAATCACATTTTTGAGTCGAGGGGGATTTTTACATTTGTTTTTCCAAAACACACACATTGACATTGGTATGTTTCAAAACAGAGAAGCTTTATGATGTTTTAAATATAGGTTGAAAGTCACTGAATGGTGAAACTTTTGGGTTTATTTCAGGTTATGGTACCCAGCAAAGAACTGGTGTTGGCGGGGAAGGATGCTGCCGCTGAATACGATGAGCTGGCTGAACCTCAGGACTTCCAGGATGACCCAGAGTAAGTTAACACACACTCACAAAGAATTAGAAGTGTGTGTGTGTGTGAGTTAACTCTTAACCTGAACCCTCTGTTTATTCCGCAGTGTCGTTGCCTTCAGGAAATCCAACAAGATTGGTTTCTTCATCAAAGTGATCCCCCAGAAAGAGGAGGATGGCGACGTCACCGTTTCATTTAAGATCCGACACGACTTCCGCAACCTCGCGGCCCCCGTCAAGCCGAGCGAAGAGGGGCCCGAGACCCCCGCAGAGGCAATTTGGCTGACACACCATGTGGAGCTGAGCCTGGGACCGCTCGCTCCCTGAACACAAATAATTCTATCACACAGTCCTAGTGTTGGGTCCTTTGAACTACTTTCTGTAAACTGTGGGATGCGTTTAGTTTTTAAATGATTTCTGATTCTGCTTATTGTCATTTAAGAGCTATTTGTGATCTGTTTGGCATACAGTTGTTTCTGGGCGTCAGCTCAAGGTGCGTCACCAAAAACATTGTGGTACATTTAGTCATTGTACTATAGCTGAGTTTATAAAACTACATGAAACCATGACTGACTGCAGACTGATAATTGCTTAAGATTTAACTTGATTTGTTGATATCTTGTTGGTTTTTGTTTCAAAAAAGCAAATGATATGTTTTTTTACAACCTGATTGTCCTCAGCTTAAACAATATCATTTCATTAAATAGCCCCTTTCAGTAATCTACAAGATGCACAACCTAATACATAGTTAAAATAAAAAATGTGTTGTATACATACAATATTTTCTTAAATTGGAAAGCAACTATGTATGCTTTGTATTATTCAATGTAATTGCTCTGGATTTCTTTCTTTAGTGGTATGGTTGAGCTTTTTAATGTATGTGGGAAACAGCAGTTTGCACAAAGAGGAGTGATTGGTTCTATATTATTATTATTATAACACCATAGAGATTACAGAAACAGAAATTGGGTGATGAGCAGAATCAGAAATCCTAACTGAGAACAATCTGAACATTTCCCGCCTGAGCAGCAATCTCTTCTGCGCTTTCAGCTTATGTATCCTCATCAACATCCCTTTACGCAGACTGTAATATCGTATTAACTCGCATGCTTCAACTCTAGTGAATATCGCACATGTAAAACAATATCATCACAGTTACTTTTTTCTCATTTGAAAGGCTTTTTTTTTAAGGTGATACCTGCTCATACAGTAACCCCCACTGGCACTTTGGAGAGGATGAAGCTCTGTAAATGACATTAAATACAAAGTGTTTATTATTTAAATGTACTCAAGACACTATCTTTTTTTTTCTGATTTAAAAAAAATGTATCCTTCTGGTTTGTAGAAGTATAAGTAAATAAGCTGCTTTCATATTTGGTCTCCAGTGTGTTAGTAGAACAGAGCCTAACAACACAGTTAATCTTCTGTACCGGCTAATAAAATAATGTGATACTGTAACACACCTTGTGACTTTTTTGTTGAGCTATGATGATTTGAAGCAGGTGAACGTTTTTATTATTATGAATTAGGACTGAGACCCATCATGACTTTAAACTCTCTTTGTGGTGTTATTTTCACTCTGACCACAGGATGGCGCTGCAGGCAAACAGTTTTTAGCTGCATGGAAGAAAGCTTTGAGAGGACGAGAGCATACAGGGACATGATTGTGTGATCTTGAGTTACCCTACACGCTGAAACTATGTCTGATTGACTGAGGAGACATTTGGATCCAGGCAGAAACATTTGGATAACAATCCAAGCAATGCTGGATGTTTCTCCTTCAGGATGTGAGTCATGGGGATACAATGTCAACATTAGGAGTAGATAATAATGGAATGTGTGTTCCAACAGGAACCATTCGTATTTACCAGATATCAGTACCTCTCAGTGATGCCTCGCACACACTGGGACAGTTTATCCTCTAAAAGGCAGATCAGATGTGTGGGATGGGGCCTGTTGAAGCTCTCCAATGAAACCCGTCTGCTGGGTAAACAGACCCACTCCCTCTGGGTAATAAAGCCATGATTTTCTTTTATCTTTCGGCAGATATAAACAGCTCAGAAGAGTGGCCTGTGAAAGTGCCATAAATCACCACAGAAGATGAGGTAATAAAGCACACACGGGGCGAGTCCGTACCACTGAAACAGCCCCCCCCCCCTTCAGGCCCAGCTGATGAGAGCAGTAGCTGACTCAGTGCACAGCAGCCAAGTGTTGTACCTGCACCTGCTGGAGGTTCCTTTCATTCATGCTGGGAATATCATAGTTTTGTTAAACTTGTATACTGACGGGCGGCCAGAGGTGTGAGAAATACTCAGATCTTGTACTTGAGTAAAAGTAGAAGTACCAGAGTGTAGGTGTACTGTGTTAAAAGTAAAAGTCCTGCATTCAAAAGGTTACTAAAGTAAAAGTACAAAAGTATTAGCATCAAAATATACTTAAAGTACCAAAAGTAAAAGTAGTCACTGTGCAGATCTGTCCATTTCAGAATAATATATAGTATATGTTTTGATTATAATTATTTATGCATTACAGTGTTTATCAAAGCTAGTAAAGGTGCAGCAAGTTTGAAAGACACTGCAGGGTAGCTTGTGAATTTACTCCAGGTGGAACTAAAGTCTGATTTAAGGGTTGATTATATTACACATCATTAATGCAAATCTAAAAAGTAACTAAAGGTATTAAATAAATGTAGGGGAGTGAAAGTACATGATTTATCTCTGAATTGTAGTGGAGTAGAAGTAAAAAGTAATAAATTAGAAGAATCTTAAAAGTGTACTAAAGTACCGTACTTGAGTAAATGTACTTAGTTACCTCCCACCTCTTTTGACGGCTATAATTGAAGTAACATTTGGAATTGAATTGCATATGGCAGTGGAGACTTTTTGCAGTAACCTTCCAACTCATGAACAGACCTTGAATGATTCCCAAAAAGCACCGTCTGGAAGATAAGTTCTGGATTCCTCTGGTCAGGATAATATTTTCCTAGATCAAGACTGCAGTTATTTCATGCTCAGCAACACTGGGCTCTTATTTGTAGAACCTCACACTGTAAACAGCACAGAAAGCTGACCTGTGACCATGTTATGGGGATTAGAAATGAATATGAAGGTTCCCCGGCAGTGTTGAGTAGGTGAGTGAAAGGGCTTTCATGTCTATCCTTTCCTCTTCCTCTGTTTTTCACTCTTCTGAAGACTTACATCTTTATTTATAAAGACAGACCCGGCCAGCCTTGACCAGATGAGAAATTCCTCACTGAATTACAAGTTTGACTGCACCCGGGACCTTTCCACAATTACGTCATCCGCCCAAACCGCAGTAACTCACCCACAGAATAAGCATGACACAAACGAGCAAAAGAGAAGAAAAACGACACCTTAACAGAGGCAGTAAATTCCCTCCATCTCATAAAAAGATGGCAATTTGAAGACCGCACTGCTGTCATTTCTCTGTATTACAGTACATGCGTGAGTTAAGGTGTGCTTCATTACATCTGCATAGATTTAGCTCATATGATGGTCAGATGAGTCTTTTTTCTCCTGTGTGGACAAGAATAGTTTGGTCTAGTCCTTTTTCTTACCATGAGGAGGAAAAGCACAAAAAGTCCCAAGAGAACGTTCAGCGTCCACTTGCCCCTTTTATATTTAGGTTGAACAGTCAGCCTGGAGGTGCTTTGAGTGATTAATCGCCTCCTTCATTTTCTGCTCACCAGACCATCATCTGGTTAATTAGAGGTAATGGATTATGTCTACCCAGATGAATAACTGTAGGCATGTCAGCTTCCAAAGCTGGGAAAGCCAAACCTGTGAAACATTAGCTCTTTAGGAGAAAGTATTTTGTCATTTTCTCTCCTTCTCCCTCTATTTCCTCTCACTTTCTTACAGTCTGTATTCTAGGTTAGCTGGAATGTTGACTTTGGACTGCTGGTTGAAAAAGATCGCTCTGAGAATGCAGCTGACCCTCGACACCCCCTCTGAGCCCCGTCAGACTGCAGGCTGAGGGTCCGCTTTTTGCTTTCATTTATTATTAGCTCAATTGCTCACCGGGCGCATTACGTCTGCTTGGGGCACTTGGTGTCAGCACACAGGCCTCGGCAGTGCCACAGGTTGGGGGCCCCGGGGGACTTGCCGGAGCCAATGGAGGTCTGAAAGTCTGCTCTGAATCTTCCCATCCAATGGAAAGAGCAGTGTAGAAGTAGAATAAGACAATCATTGTTAGTCTAGTTTTGTAAAAGATGATGGATAGCCCCATGTTTCAACTTTTGTGTTTTGCTACTTTGTTTTTGCAAAGCTTAGGAGCAATGTCAAAATGTGTTTTACCTTAAAATGTATGTTTGGAATCACACAGCTGTCTTCTTTCTACCCGAAGAGATAACATTTTTCACAAAGCAAAACGTTTAAACATCATATTACAGCAAAGAATGAGTCATTTGAATACACTAAGGTTGTGCGCTGGCAGTCAATTAGCCTAGCTTAGCACAAATACTGGAAAAATCAACTTTATCACCGGATTAATCAAACAAATGTGATATTAGTACGTTTAAGATGTGCAGGCAGTTGAATTTCCTTTTTATGTTAGGACAGTCAGCTGAGTCCCCATGTTTCCAGACTTTATGCTAAGCTAAGCTAACAGGCTGCTTGCGGGGTCCGCAGGGTTGTTTTTTTCCCTAGCTCAATATCCTCTCAATAGGAAACATTAAGGATACTTTTCAAACTATTTTATGTTTTCATCAAGTTTTTAACAGAGGTCAAAGGTGCAATGTATGTTTTGCTGGGTAAAAATGTTTACTTCGCCCACAGTTTATAGCTTACTGAGGTTATTCTCCTCAAATTTGAAGGCAAGACCGTTTCCTTTACCTTTGACATTTATATCTCCAGATTGGCCACAGATTTTGACCATTCCCGCTGCAGTTACAACATGCATTTCCCCGTTTTGCACTATGAACGACACACTTTTTGCAATCACTTTATCACTATATTCATGTTCTAAGATCATACGGATCAATATTCCAATGTATCTATTCATATGAAAGCTTATTAGTGTATTTTCCAAATAAAATAGCATATACACTACACTTTTGTGCTGAGTTGTCTTGACCCCTTTAAGATTAGCTTGAGTTTGCTGGCATAGACACGGCGAGGCCCCACTTTCCCAAAAGGCTTACGGTCTCTTTGCACAGACGTGTAATTCCAGTCACAGGACATTTCACCCTGGAGCACAAATTACACTCATTTATTTGCTTATATCAGCAAACAGAGCAGAGCTTGAGATCATCTGACATTGAAAGAAAGATTAGAAAAAGAGTCATGCATCTCTGCACCTGCCACACTAAGATCTTAATGCACAAGATAATCCTCTGTGGTCTACTACAAGTATCCGCCCAAACAAGGTTCATTAATTGCCAAAATGAATTACATGCCCCAAAGAAACTCAGCCACACGCCAGCAATAATGTAAGTTCAATAAATAGAGGATTTCAATTAGGGCAGCGCTTGTAATAGAAGCACTATTGTTGTCTCATCTGGGACGGTATAGCCGGGGGCTTCTTGGGCAGCTAAGCCCCATTAGGTCTCACTGAGAGTGCGCTGGCAGCGGAGGACTTGTGGATAGATGCTGAAGACAGAGGCGACTGGTTTCCTCTGTGCAGCCAGCCCTGGGGCATGCAGCCCAACCCACAGAAGCCCAGCCCAAAATGACCCAGCATTGCACCACAAATACTGTATATCCACATCCAGTATATACACAAGTTCCCATCACTGAGCAGTGCCGTATTTCACCCCAGAGAGGCTGAGTTAAATCAATGTAGGGAATCAATGAGAGCTTCATTGGATTTACCGTGCAGGAATATGAAATGTCAAACTGTCTCTGTGGATTTGTTGTAGACTCTATCAGTGGCACATTTTTCAGACTGAAGAGGCCCCACTGTAGATAGACTTGAGGAGTCGACAGCAAGATGTTTTAAAGCCTTTAAATCCACATACAGTGTTAATGTGTTTGTTCTTGCAGGATTACAGCTTAACACATGATTATACTTTTTCTTTTATTGCACATGAGAGATATTCATTATTGTAAATGTCCCCGCTGTGGGACTAATAAAGGATTTCTGATTATATATAAGATGTATGGGGAAGTTCCCAACCCGGGGCATCCCAAGATAACTCTTTCTTGTGGATTATTGGATGCTTTCACCTCTTCAGGGCTTGGACAATTCATCAAATTAGACACATCTATAAAGGAAAAACATCACTTCTCCCATCCCATGAGTAGAGTTCACACGTTGGTCACCAAATCCTCCTGCTGTTTTGTGATTGTTGATTTGTGTTTTGTTTATATACTGCTATCTAGATCAATCCGTATTACATTTTTAAAATGTTCAATTAAAATTTGCATTTAAATTAAAGCCATCACATATTAAAATAAGTGTTCTGTATGTGTCCCTTATTTTGTGTAAAATTGCAATGT